TCTGGTTTAATGATCCAGAAGCAACATAACAGGCTTAAATATTCAGGTTCTTACAGATTGATTTGATTAAAACATACATCATACATGCTATAGAATAATATTGGTAGCATTTAAAAAGGATTGTAACTAGGAGTAATGATTTGATACTCTGAGTAAATTCTGTGATATTTGATGGTTTGAAATAAAAAATAAAAGTGGACATGTTGTCTCAGAACTGGATGCAAGGACAGACAGGAGACTGTGATTCTTTTTGTTGATTTTACTTTTTGTTTTACTTTTTGTTGACTTTAGTGGAAAAACTTCTAGAGACAGGAATAAAATAAACAACTGGAGAGGATGAAGAAGAGAAAAAGCTAAACTAAGAGAGAGCAGAAGAGGCTGAGGGGGACAGAGGCAAGGCAGAGTTCTTCTCATGGAGATTGACAGTTTTATGTTTTGTTTATCTTATCTTTTAACTTTAAGTTTTCATTTATTTTATTTCCATTTTGTGGTTCTAGTCATATTTGATTGCATTTGAGTTCTTTTGTATTTCTTGTTTGCCCTCTTGTGTCAGTCTCTTTTTCCCTAGCTCCCTTCTAGCTTCCTCTGTCTACTTCTGCTCCCAATCTGCTTGTGAAATTCAGCTTGATTAAAAGCAGAACTCACAAATACTCAAGGGGTTTTTTCACAGGAAAACAGGCAAAGTGTTACAATTGTTAGCAAATAAAGATTCATAAAAAAAAAAAAAATCACACTACTACCAAGAATCCAAAGTTTCATTCAAATAATATTTCAGTATAAATAGATCAATAACCCAAAAACCTTTACAACCAATTTATAAGAAAACTCAAAGTCTCAATTTATATCTGCAAAAAACAAACAAAAACAACCATAATGACTGAAAGTCCAAAACCATCAGTTCTTTTTATTTCTGATAATAATGTCCAAACAGGATTTCCATATGCTCCAAACCCAAAGTACAATCCTGGAAGAGTTTAAGTCCAAACTCCTTTCCAAAACGAAAAATCCAAACTCTGACTGTGTTTTATCTTTCTTCATTATGTTTGACTTTTTTTTGAAGAGACAACCAGACAAAAACTCCCGCTGCTCAGACCTATCAGTGAGCGTCTTCCTCACCTGTCGAGCCGTGCGCGCTGACGCACAAGCCCCCTTTTTATTAAGAAATTTCTCAACACCAAAACAACCCAGCATATTAATTCCCATCATCATTTTTTAACCAGTGGAGATTTGAAATAATATATCTAATGAACTAACTGTTCTACAAGACAGTTTGTCATCGGTACACTTTAATGTACTTACTGAAAGAGAAAAATAACATAGTAGTTATGTTACATGCTGATTAGTCTGGTCTTTGATTCTGTCTACCATATCAGTGTATTCTCATTATGAGTTCGTATGAAATTTGGACATTTTTTTCGTTGTATGCGCATCTGACGCACCATTCACGAATATAGAATCTAAATTACAATTAGCCCTAACCCTGACCCTGAGATATAAAACAGCAAGCAACGTAGTTAGAGACATGAATAAGTGATGATTGCACTGTTCTTCCCAGTTTACGTCCGTCCGCAGATCTGCTTTTTTTTTCTGTCTGCCAGCGCATTGCGCACTGATGTGGTTTTTTGAGGAAAAACGTCCAAAACGTACGAAATAGTGTGCATAACTTTTCGTACGATTTCATACGAACTGATAATGACAATATGTTACCCATATATGCACCTCATGGTCAGTCACCGTTTGCTGGTTCATCGTCATTTCTCTGCCCTTCTTGTTAGTATTCCTGTTTTTTTTTGTGGTTTCAGTGGATTTATATTTTTTTGATTTTTGCTTCTGTTCCAACCCTTTAAATTAGACCTGCAAGAAACTCCCATTCAGCTTCAGTCTCTGAATTTGGCTCCTCCTCTGTAACGTCCACCAGCCGTAGAGTCCAGGATGGAGCATTTTCTATGTCATAAACTAAAAAAGTTAAATAAATAGCTGGATAGATAGATATAATGTCATGTTTTTTATTGGATTTAGAGAAGGCTATATAAAGGCTTATATTAATTTCTGGTTTCAAGTGGAGCTTTTTTTCCTCTTTAACAACAGTTACCTAAAATAAAAAAGTAAAAGACTTTTGCCACAGTCCTTCATAGTAGTATCAGTTTTATACAGAAATTGAGGAATTACATTTTTACATATCTAATAATTGTTTGGGGTTTTGTTGGCTAAGGAGGTGGGGGTTCGTGAACGCCTCTTTGTTCAGTCTAAGGCATGATTTTGGTCAGGACATTTCATCCTCTTCTCCTGCTGTTGGTGGTCGGATTTTATAGCAGCGTTCTGTCAGTCTGCCCCAGGGCAGCTGTGGCAACAAAGTAGCTCACCACCATCAGGTTGTGAAAGCTCTTTGAAGTCCTCTAACTCAACATAGAACTGCAGAAGTAGAGGGTATTAAAAGTTTGAGATAAAACCTGTAAAAAAGTGTTTGAACAGAAACTGGCTGAAACTGCTCTGCTATTATAGGGGGCATCCCTTTAATACCAGAGTTCAGCTGTTCCAGTTTATAATAACCTGATTAGATGCAACATGAAGGTGGGTCATTGACAGGAGTCTGTAACATATTAAAGTAGATTGCTTGCTTGATGCTCAGGTCCATTTGTGACCAAGTTTTCCTTGTTTACATTTATTGGCTAATTTAGAGCATTGGTGATGCCTCATGAACGGTGAAATGGGAAGAGAAGATCTTTGATGATGAGGACAGGTTTTTATGTTAAAAATTAGAAAAAAAATGGTTTTATTTTGAGAAAAGATAATGTTTAAAATAGAGTGTGAATTTAATATAAAACATTCTTTTCAAGCTAGAGAATATTTCTAAATATTTAAAGATCTAATTCCCGAGGTATTGATTCCCCTTTGCTTCACATTTCTGATGTCATCCTGCTTGAGTAACTTTGGGATATATTTAGATATCTCCTCATTTTATGAATGAATAAAATCTTTAAAACATTAATTCCTTAAAGGTTATGATTAACAAATACTTTTTATATTCTACCCCATTTCAACTAATTTGCCTTTTATGAAATAACACTGACTGAAGTGAGGAAACCTCTAGCGAAGCACAAAGGAAACCCCACGTCAGGGAGCTGTGCTCTCTCTGGTCAGACTGTTTGAAAGAGTCAATCTGGTAAGACTTAGGAGGAAATCCACTCGCTTTCTCAAATATAGAACTGAAATGTTGATCCGGATGCTTCAGTCCGTCCAGCCGGTCTCAAGGTCGATGTCCAGGATCAGGGGCTTGTTAGAAATCAGTCAACAAAGACTGAAGGCTAATTGCCTGCTTAAGTGAACAGGAAGAGGGGAAACTAAGCAAGGTTTTTATTTTCTGGACCTGGATTATGCACCTTTGCTTCTGGCTAATGTCATCTGATTGTCATATTTAAGTATATTTCTAAGGCTGGTCAGTGATTGCACATCAAACACACCGGCAGAAATCTACTTTTTAAATCTAAATGCAACAGGGGACTGAAAAGCCTTTATCAATAGATAAAGGGATCAACTTGAGCTTTTTGAACTCTTAAAGAGAGGTCATATCTGATCATAGGCATTCATTTAAAAAACATCTATCAGGGAAAGGATTACTTGATACGATACGATAAAAAGAAATACAAAGAACAGCATTTGGTTTGCATTGCTTTTTTACACGCTTGTTGGTTTGTTAACTGTAATGGGTGAATTTCCATATAAGGTTATCTGTACCCCTATGTATGGCTTTCGGAAGCCCACCTTGGATTGCTTCTTTGCTCAGTGTGCAGGCGTGTGTCTTACTCTCCATGTATTCACAGCCCGTGCGCTTTCCTTATCAGCAGTCTGAAGCTTGCATGCTCAATCGCCTGATTTGTCGAGGGTGACTCCAAAAGATTCTGATAGGCACTCCACCAATCACCCAGTTGATCTAAAATATCGACCAGCCACAAAAAGTCATTACACACAATAATGGCGGGCGGGACCTTGAAGATGTGACTTAATTAGGTTTCAAATGGTTTCAAAAATGCCTTCAAATCTACTCCCCCAGAGACTGAAATGCTCCTGGCTTTCTCTCAGTGATTACAGGAATAGAAAGTAAGGTACACAGGCACTGACGATGCCGCTGCTTTTACGTAAAGGTGATAGCAGCACTACAGAAATCAAAGATTATTTTATATACATGAATATTTTGCAATCATTCTTCTGCTACTTTTTAACTTGTTCATCTTCTTCAGGCTATGCTCTTCCTTTGACTTAACCAGATGGAAAGCATAGAGAGCTGTAAACTGTCTAATAAAGATCTAGTGAAGCAAATGTTGTATTTTCCTAATGAAAATTTGAATGTGACTGAATGCAAAGGGTTGTCTAGGCCAGGGATCTGCATCCTGCGGCTCCCGAGCCTCATATGGTTCTTTGGACCGTCTACAATGGCTCTTGATAGTGGCTAAAAATTACATAAAGGACTAAATAATGTGCTATAAGAACAAATACGAGTCTTTGATGCTTTTGTGAGTTTTATAAAAAATTTTCGGAAAGCACCAGGAATAAGTTTTGAGAACGATTAATCCCATAACTAGCTTGGAAACTAGGTGTTTTATTATCATTATTATTTTTTTTACATCATTACCCTCAGAAAAAAATCAATGCTTCTGTTTTATGAATCGTTAATGTTTTTTATTATTTTAAAAGCAAAAAATCCAAAAAAGTTCTTGGATATTTAAAATGGCAACACTTTTCTTATGGCAGATATATAACAAAAATAATATACGTTTTTTTGTTTTTTTATATAAAAAAAAAATCATGTAATATTTTGCAGTTTTAAATGAGTTTTAATTAGCAGCACTCAGAGCAAAATGGTTCTTTGGAAATGAAATGTTGCAGACACCTGCTCTAGGCTTAATGCAGCTACACTGATTTACAGCATTGAAAGAGATTATTTAATGGCTGTCGTTGGTCAATGAGACAGTTAACCGTATTTCACATGTGTCTCATTACAGAAAACAAAGATTTCTACATATGATAAGATGTGGGAGTTTATGAGCAGTCGGAGACACTCGGTGATGGTGAAGAACATTGAGGAAGGCATTCACCGTGTGCTCACCTCTGACTACGCCTTCCTCATGGAGTCTACCACCATTGAGTTTGTAACACAACGCAACTGCAACCTTACGCAGATTGGGGGCCTAATCGACTCCAAAGCTTATGGCGTTGGAACACCAATCGGTACGTACATATACCACACTATATAGCATTAAATTGAGGGAATATAATAAATAATTATTGTACTTTAGTGGTCTAATACTAGTCGATAAAATAATGATTACAAAATATTTTAAAAGCGCTGATGCAGGTTTTGTTGTTGTTTTTGTGTCCGTATTTACTCGATACATATTACATTATTCTTATTTATGCAATAAGATTAGACAT